ATTGTTCATTAATATGCAAGTATTGTGTTTTAAATAGAAATAAATGTATTTACACATTTTTTTAAGGAAAGAAAAAACCTCAAGAGTCTTCGTCTTATTAATTAGTTTTGGATTATCCTTTTCGCTATCTTCCTACCCAATGCATTAATGAGTGTCTGTTTTTTTCTTCTTCTTGATAATATTACTTATTTTATGAATTATTTTGTCTCAATTAAACGCATAAATTATGACATTTCTTTCTTTTATTTTTTTAATGAAACTTAAAGACAGTTCTTTATTTTGTTTTTTTGGTTCGTCCCTGGAGTATCTAAAACCGACCCCTCGCTATGAGGGAGGCACCTCAAAGGATGTCAAAGGATGAGATAACTGACCCTAAGATTTAACGCAGCTGCATACACCCCTGACCTTGCTTAAATGTGAATCAACCCCTACTGCTGAACTACTAGCTTGGTATTATTTTTTTTAATTAAAATTAAAATTTTACCAAATAATATACACTTATATTTAATTTTAATCTATAAGGTAAAACTTCTAATGTAATAAATTAAAGAAACAGGAACAAGCGAAACTAAGTAACCGTAACTAAATTTTGTACTACTTTTAACTCCCTCAGTCCCCTTTGGTAAATAGTAAGTTTTATTTTAAAACTTTCGAGACATCCACTTCACACTTTTTCTGTTGGCAACTTCGCCACACTCGATGAACTATCATTCTCTTTAATTGTGTCGTTCACCTTTCATTGTTGTAGTTTTCTTTCGCCATCGCTTGCTTGCTCCAATTTTCAATTTTCTTTTTACGAAGCATTCACACTTCCTATTTCTTTTGTTTATCAACGAATAGTGATATAGATGTGGAGGCTTGTAGAGAGAGTATAATCGTCTATAATGATTCTAACTGTTCGAGTAAAATTGTCTTCTGAGATACACGCAATTTATATATATAAAAAAAAAAATCTCATATTTCTTGTCTTCCTTGAGACATGTGGGTGTGTAAGTCACGCTCATTTTAGTCCGAGAAAGGAACTTGAGCTATTGAACTAATAAGTAGGGATCTGTCAAATTAACATGGTTGGTTCTTTTGGTGCCTTTCATAACCCTAGCTACAACCGAAAGGGCTATTTAATGAATCATGAATTGCTAAAGCTAAATACATAGATCGAAAGAAATGAAATTTTACTGATCACTTGGTTTGTATGTACTTCAAAAGAAAAAAGTGGATGACAAGAAGCCATTACCATTTGTCCTCCAGGCTCCAGTCATGATATTGGGATTTAACTGGACAACTAGTTGTTTGTTTGTTGGGTGAAAATCGTTGTTGCGATGTCCTTTCATAGCATTCTCAGCCCCAGCAAGAAAACTATGGCTCTACCAAATTTTTTGGCTTGATTTGCTTTTGGCTCTCTTATTCTTCACTGCAATCCTTTCACCGAATGAGGTAATGATGTGAGCTAGGCAGTGACTGTTTTGAGGAAACAAACTCGTGATGATCGATGAATATGATCGCTGTTTAGAGAATTTTGGAAATGCTTTTATAATTATAAGAGTAAGAGATGCGGATACAGGAGATTTGTGGTTGCCGACATGAAAACAGGAACAATACGGGCATTGACATTGTTCATGTAACATTTTGCTTTAACAAGTACAGGCATTATAATTATCATGTATTTTGAACAACTAATACTCTAATAGGATTAAGAAAACTTCCAGTTTATTCTTTTCTCGGGGGCAGTTGAAGTCATGCTTGGATGTTATTACATTTTTAGATTAATATTCCTTTTCAATTTCTAGGATTCATACTTGTTTTACCTAAGTGGAATTGCTCAAAACTGGAATCTCTCTTTTACTTTTGATTGTACGCAATTTAAATCATCACCAGGTTAAAACGATATAAAATCAAACTTCCTGAATTTCAGCGGAAGAAATTAATGGTAAAAGTAGAAACATAAAGTTAGGAGATTTTGAATAATCTACTATTGTGGTCGTCAATAGTAGGTACATGAAGAAATTCCTATAAAGCTCATTAGTCGCATGATTTTGCGACATACATGAACCCCAGTAAAAGGTATGACTAATTCTCTTCTTTGTTTCAGTGATGCTTAATTAATTTTTTTTAATATTTTATAAATTTGTAAGTTTTTTTTTTTCTTTATCAAAGAATATTTTTCATTGAATATAGGAACAATTTTCCTTGAAAAGTTAACAGACATTAAATAATTGAGCATTTTCTCTTCACTTGAATTTTCTGCATTTGCTTCCATTGGATTAAGTGTAATTTTTTTGTTTGATATCTTAATAAATTTTTAAAATGAATCTTTCAGTAAAAAATTTGTCAACAAATGATTTCTTTAATTAATTTTTCTAAATATTACAGTTTTTTATTTGATATTTTTAAGGAAACACTAAATATGAAATTTTTAATATTTAAGAAGATCAAATATAATACTTGTAAGAATGTTTATAGTTAGGTTATTTAAATAAATTAATCATAATGATTTAATAATCATTTATTAATGTGATTATTACATTCGAACCATAATTTATAAATAAAAAAAACGGTAATATAACTTTTTATATATTTAGAATTGATTTGAAAATTAAAAAATAGTTCAAAACTAATTTTATACTTAATACACTTTTATAATTATTTTATACTTTAATAATTATGTTTTATTTAATTAAAATCAATTTTAAAGATTAAAATTGATTTTAAAAAAAAAGATAATTTGGATTATAACTAGTTTTAAATATATAACTAATTTTTTTAAAATGAAAGTCAGTCATAGTTTAACATGTACGGTCATTGATGCTAAGAAAATATGGTCATTTTATCAAGTGTGATTGTAATTGTTGATATGTATGGTTGTGCTTCCCTTTAAAACACCTTTGTCTAAAAAAGCATGTCGTTATTAACAAGGAAACATGATCATACTTGCTAGGATGAACATCTGTACTTAAAATATCTAATTTTTCTATAAGTTATAATCTTAGATTTTTTTTTTTTAATTTCTCTCTTCTAACTATTTTTTGTTTTGGTTTTGTAAGAGGCTAAAAATGAAACCTCTTAAAGAAGGATTCTTTCACTTATTTAAGTATTTTGTATTTTTATCTCTTTTAATTTAAAGTGTATGATCGGACTATTTTGGTTGAATCTTATAAATTTGCAAGATCAAACTTATTTTCTCAATTCTCAATACTTTACTTTACGAATAAATTTCTTTATATCAATTTGAAATTTTTCTAAGATAAAAACAGTTGACATCCTAGATCAAAGACTGTTCACAATTTTAAAAATAAATTATTGGCAAGATTTTAGAATTTGTAAAATTTATCTTGAGAAAATTGAGAACAAGAAACGGTAACTCTAAGATTTTTATCTCTTAATTTCAAAAATATTTACTTACTTTGTTTAAGTTTTAATTTTCTATCTTTTGTTACATTATCTCAAATCATATTTTTATCTTTTCAAATGGCTAAAAATCATGATAAGTTAACAATTGCTTTAACCTAGTATTTTGAATTTGATATTTAAATTCTCTCTATTACTATTTGATACTTAAATTCTATCTATTATTACTATTATAATAAGATACGTTTATAAGATACGTTTACCTTTAATTCGCACTTTATATGCAACAAATGGATAACATCGTTTGAAAACATGCAGCGAAGTAATAAATTGATATAACTGGAGCTGTCCCCAAAGTAAGAGAGAACCGACACATAAATTTCTAAGTACTACATGTAGCAATAATGTTAGTTGTGGGACACGTATCCCACCATTCGTTCCAAGCCACATTCGTTTCGAATTACCTAAGGTCAAAGGAATATCCTAACTTCACATCGAAAAACTTATCTCTACTCTTCGCAGATCGCCTCTTACAATGAAACATTTCATAAATGCAGCTGACATGGTAGTTCCAACATCCAGGAGTTCATGAATTGTAGTATAGAAATATGGTTTTTCATGTGGATTATTTAAGAATTAATTATATATCTATCTATTGCTTCTCTATCTTCATCCCTTTTCCTTTGCATTTATTTAGCAAAGAACTTAAATGACCATGAGAAATATTAGGTAGTGTTAGATGGAATAATCTGATAATTTCTACTCCTATATGGCATATAATAAATATTATTAATTTCTCATAAATTAAAAAACTCAAATGCAAGTCATGTAAATATTAATTGGGACCATAGGCACACTTGGTGGTCCTGATTATCTAGTAATTTCTCATGAGACTACAAATGTGCATTTAATGGGATTTGGTTCCTCAAACTAAGAGTGCATCTACCGTGAGATTTGAATTAAAAAGAAACTTGACTCACTTTAAATTAGAGATATCTGTATCCTTATTTAATTAATACATTTTCACACCTTAGAGGAAGCAAATCCCATGCAAGGTGGATAGTATGTACTTTAAAGTAATATATGTCACACATTGACACTACAAGATAATTTAATTAAGTTATCCATATAATTTGTTAAAATTGAAGTGTTAATGTTAGATAAGTTATAGCTCCGGGGACTACATATCTATCAAGAAATTAATAATGATACCAACTTCTGGCTATATGTTAATGTTAGTATTTCTTTTTCAAACCTACTATTTGCCCTCATTGCAGAATTGACAGATCTTCATCTGTTTTCCTGCAGATCCTTTGAATCGGAGTGATCATCTTGGTTAATTTTAGGGAACTCAATTTTGCGTTATATATGCAGCAGATCATTTATGTATACTTTTCTCACTATTTGTCAAGCATTTTTCTTGCAGGAGCTCTCATTTGGTAAATGTGGTTATTATATAACGTATTTAGTTATTATATAACGTATATTACCCTGCAACATTTCTAAAGTAACCCTCTCAAGGGAATGATCGTTATTAATTGGGAAAATAGAAAATCACAACAGTCAAATGAACATTTGTTGACAAATTAAGAATCATCATCCAGAAAAATGGGCTCTCGTGGTTTCAAATCCAGGAAGAATCTACCGAAATTCTGTTCTGGCAAATGGAGGATAGAATTTTGATGATCGAGAATACTATGTCTATGTACATATAAATATATAATATATGATCATGATACCAGGTTGGTCTCTACGGTACTCATTTATTCGCATCTAACAATCAAATTAAGTACCATATTACGTAGAGCTAGATTAATTATCACCCCCGCTGTTTTTTTTAAGATACACTTGAAAGTTGAGAGCTATATATAAAGAACTTAGGCTGTTCATAGGGAAAACTAGATAAACGTAAGTTGGTGAAAGGTGAAAATTTATATAGTATCCGATGGACGTTCTTAATAAATAACTAGCAGAGGAGACTGCACCTTCTCTTCAAGAATTTTGACGGGTTCTGATCTGGAGGGTGCATGAATTTGCAGTTGGGACATGAAGGAGATGACTTGCATAGCATTACCAACATGTGGCATCTCATGCAAACTGTTGCAACCATCTCTTTGTAATCATCCTCGGATGATGACAACCACGAGGGAGAACGAATATTTATACCATCTGAAACTTTCTTACACTTGGTTGATTCAATAAACGGATCATCACGTTCACTCAAACCCCCAGAATTCTCTTCTTTTTTCCTCAGTGATTCACATGTCAAATTCAGCTCAAGGTCTAAACTCATGTGATTAGAAATAGGTGGCTCGGGGTTTCTTTTGGGGTCCTCTGTTGTTGTTGTTGGGTTACACAATTGTATCTGCCCTGACTACACATAAAATAAAATAAAATTAAAAAAATTATAGTATATAGTATATACCATAGTTGTGGCTTTAATTTCCAACAAGTTTTGAAAGAATATATATACAATACATACCTGAATAGAGAGGTATTGACGCCATTTATCCGAAGAAAAAGGTGTGTCAGGGTGAAGGTCTATATCAAAGACGGATTTGCTTTTCTCTAGAGTTGTTTGATCCTTGAAGAAATCTTCAGCAAATGGCTCTTCCCACTTTCTCTTCTTTGATGATGCTTCAAATTCTTCATGGATTTCAGGCCTTGTACTCTCGGCCAGCGCTTTGTGAAAGGATACCATAGCTTCAAAGAGTGGTTTCACTCTCGAACCTTGGCTGTTTCTTTGTGATCAAATGTAGTATAACACTGAGGTCTTTATATAGGGTGAGTTTCCCTTGGATTGGACTTTTGAGTTATAAATAACCACAAAGGAGAATCTAATATGGGGGCGAAATTTGAAGATTGATCCAAATAGAAGGACGTTGCTTATGTATAACGTGCTTACCAAGTTGGCTTCGCAATAAATGCATAACTTCAAGCTTTTACTACTAACGTCTTAGATGTGATGGAAGAGAAAAGGAAAAGTTATGATCATTTTTATTTTTTATCTCTTTTTTTATTATAATTTTTTATATATTATTTTTTATCACAGTATTAACCAAATTGACAAACATAGATTAGTTCTGAATACACAACTATGTTCATGATTAACAAAAATCATATTTATAATTTTTTTATACCTTTTCTTTTTCTTCTCTCTCTTCTTTCGTGCCATGAATTTTGGATGAGCATCTATGAGGACTCTAGAAAATGCATGAAGGAAAATTTAGGTAACCACATCCATAGTCATAAAAGCATTTATTTAGAAATTATGTCAGTAAAACATTTTCCAATGTGAACTTACCTTGTATTAATGAATGAGATAATATGGTCAAATTTTATTAAGTATCCTTGCAGAATTTTTAATTCTGAGAAACTTTAATTCTATCTACGGATATTTCCAATTTCAATAGAATTAAATGATACCTCTAATTCTAGACGAAATAAAATCTTAAAATGATTTTTCATTATATTAAATTATTATATTAATGAAAGTGTCAGTACAAATAAAATATATATTAATGAAAGTGTTAGTTTCGCATTTTTTTTAATACTATTCCTTGCTACTATCTATTTTGTGGAAATTAAAAAGAAATTGAGGGATAGAATATCAAATTTTAGCATAGGAAAATTGAGTGAAAAAACGAGTATTGTGTAATATGTAGTTCACACAAGATGAAAACCACTTGTTTCTTTCGTGTCATCTTCCCAAATTTTAAAGGAGAAGACAAAACTTAGGTGTATTATCATATATGTACGTTTAGAGGGTTGGTCTTAAATCAAAATTAAAGTTTTATGTCGATAATTTGTATAATGAAAACTAATATGCATGTGTTGTCAAAATAAAACCTTAAATTTGATTGAAAAATAACATAAAATACTTATAATTTAAGACTTTAGTTTTGTTAAAAAGGATAACTCAATAATAAAAAAAACGTAAAAGGAAAAAGAGTAATAATATTTATGCAACAATTTATACAATATTTTATATTTATTTCTCTCTGTCGATTATCAATAAATAATGATATGATAGAGAAATATAAACACACAAAAATACAAAAATAATATTATACCATTATTACTTTTAAATGAAAAATTTTGATCATATAAGTGTCATTTTCATTAAGGGATAGTAATACATGATTTTAATAAACTATCATGGTTTCAGTACAGTGATAAGATATTAGATAATATATACAAGACTTTAAGTTCCGGTCTTATTCTCATTGTATGAAGAAAAATGTTAATGAATTTACGTAATCGGAAAAATCAAATCATAAAATTTGTTTCTTTGTATTATATTAATTGAAAAGTGGTTTGCAAAATTTAGAGATAATAGTATTTAATTGGAAGGATAACTTAGTATGAATTTGATTAATTAATTATTAATTGGATCCTAGAGCTTGACATGACGTACTACTATAAAGCGGAGCGAAAAGGCAAGATAGGAAGTTATGAAAGGCGGTGAGAAGTGGAAGAAGAATGGTCATAAATGTTGCGAGTGTGTACAGTTGAAGAAGGTCTTGAATAGCAATGGTTCTTTAATGTATATAATAACTCCAACTTCCCCACTCAAAGAAACTAAAATCTTTAAAGCTCTCAACACCCTCTTCAGCCATTAAAACGAACCACACCCTAGATGACCAATGCTATTAAACACCCCAGAAGAAGGCTTTAAAGGCTCTCAACACCCTCCCCCATCAACTCCTATGAGTTACCAAAAAACATAAACGCCAATTTAATGTTCTCTCTCTCTTAAATAAATCTTCCAAACAACCTCTCTTCACATCACCTGCATCATCCCCTGACTTCCTCGCAAGAACTTGACAAAATATCACTTACCTTGTTACATCACAACGAAATGTCGTTTTATACATTCTAAAACTGAAATGGATCCATTCACGATAAAAGAGAAAAAAAAATTAATTATATAATATAAAACCTTTTTTCCCAATCTTATGTCTATCTCTTTCTCCATACATATTAAATACGATCGTGAAAAAGTAATTGAACACATAGTTTAAAAAATATATAATTTGTTGTATACGTCAAATGATTCTCCTAGTATATATGACAGAGTGCATATTTCAGAACCTGATTCTCACTATTATCATAGACCATACATTAAGGTAATTTGGGCCCCTCATAAAAGCTGAAATCAAATTTTTTCAAACAGTTAATCATTACTCCTATTTTCTGTTCGGTTGTTTTATAAATGTTTCAACTTAATTCAGAAAAGGCAACTATAGAGATGTGACAAAGATGTGTTACATATATGTGTATGTTTTTAGGGGATCTGGGTTATGTTTCTTTACATGGGAAAATGGAAGAGTACAGGCTTGGCCGGTTAGGTTTCAAGGGGTGTTCATTACCAATATATACAACTAAATTTGATGAAGTTCCCTAATTGAGTTACATTAATACTAATTCAAATTGGAATTCGATAGAAAATGCTGAAGCGTTTATTCGTTTAGATTTTTAGACATTGGATCAACAAACTGAGTAGATATACCACAACTTTTGTCTCCTTATTGACACTTTTAGAATACTTATACTTAAATTGTCACTTTAGAATATTAAAACAAATATTACTGTCGTTGCCTTTTTTTTTTTAATGATACTCTCGAGGAATAAAGATAGAATGTATAGACATGATTGTATAGTAGAAGACAAAATTATTTTTAAGAGATTTGGTATAATTAATTGATTTTTTAAGATGTACACATTACGTTAATAGACAAATAAAATGAAGTAGGAGTAATTTGGTGGTTGTAAAGAAGTGATTGGTCATATACATACATACTGCAAGTGAATCCTGCATTTAAGTATGTCACTTAATGAAGCAGTATCCAGAAATTAGAAATGTGGAGGGGGAGAGGTAGATGAAGAGAATTACTAGCATGCATGCTAATTGAGGCAGAAAGAGTGAAAGACAAGAATATAAAAAGGAAAGAAGAAGCTAAAGAAAAAAGGGTCCCAACTACCAAGCCATTAAAGGCATTGAGAGATAGATGGAGGATTGAATTTGAAGCAAGTCCACCTGCCTTCATTAAACCTTCTTGAATTCACTTAAATGCAGACTTGAACAGCGACCAAATTAAAACAAGTCTGTGTTTCTTGGTCATATTTCTTTCTTCTTCATTATTATATTATCAACGACAGTTTTCTTCTGTTAAATGCCCCCAACCCACCCTGCCTTCCCTTCATTTATGTACCCCTCTTCCTTCCTCTTTCAATCACTTCCTACACACTATACTACAAACTGTCAGAATCTACTCAGCTACCATACCTCAAATTCACACTCCATAGCAGCAAGTTGTGATATGATGAATAAATAACTTTATCTTTTAAGTATATGGTTAAAAACTTGATTTTTAGTCGATGTGTATGAAAAAAATATATGTTAGGAGAAATCAGCCCCTTAAATCAATCTTAATATGTTAAAGAATTAGTACAAATTTTTTTATTAAGAGATACCTAGTATTAAAAAAGAATATTTACACTCATTTCATCCCTCCACTTCTATTTATCGGTATATTATATCACTAAAATGGATGTGTAATTTTAGGTTTAGAACAAAAATTTTATTCACAAATAATTAATAAGTTATATATTTTTAATTTTTAGTTTTTAACAATAAAATATTTATTTGTCAAAAAAATAACAAAATTGTTAATTAAATCTAATAGTTAAAAAATTTCAACATCTCACTTAATAATCCTTCATTCAATAATTATTTTGCAACATAATCTCAAGATAATCTAAAAAAATAATTTTGAAACAATAATAGTGACAATAATTATAAGTATTATTTATAATATTCTATAAATTAACATATATTTCATGCATTTAAAAATATTTAAATATAATTTAATATTTTTAATGAAACATTAATTTGTTTGTTAATATTTTTTTTGTAAGTTCAATTTAGAGAGAAAAGAAAAGTCATAATCTCTAATATACAATTAATACAATATTTCTTTTTTCAAAATATTTATTGAAATTTAAATGAAAAGTTTCAAATCATATTTTAAAATATTTTTAAATAAGTTGTGAATAGAATAAAATAAAATAATTTAATATTTATACAAAATAATGAAAACTAGAAAAATATGATTTTAAAAAAATCAAAAGAATTAATATTTAACTAGATCCTTATCACTATCGTTATTTTTTATATATAGATCATAATATCTTTTTATAAAGTTTAATGTTTATATTTATTTCAATACTATTTTTATTGAATTTAAAATAAATATAATAAAATAAAATTTCTCAAACTAATAATTTTACAATATATAATCTTATAAATTTTAAATCTTATAAATAAATAATATATCAAATAAGCATATTTCTCCCGATCCAAATAATTAAAACAAAATACAATAATTAAAAATTAACAAATATATAATATATAAAATAAATATATTTATGCTAACATCATTATAATTAAAATAAAATATATAAATAATAAAAAATTATAATAAAAAACACATTTTTCTTCAAATAATTATAACAAAATATCATAAAAGTACACATTTCTTTAATAAATATTATACAAAAAAATTAAAAATATTTATTATTTCATTAAAATACTCATAATTATTAAAAGTCTCAAATATTTTATAAAATCTTTTAATTAATCAAAATATTTTTTAAATAATTTTAGAAAATTTAAGGTGTTATAATGATAAATAAAAAACAAATTAGAAAAGAGGTTATAAAAATCCCTACAAACCCTCCTCTTGAAAAAAAAAAAAAAGTCTCCAAAAACAATCTCATGCAAAATAGAGACTTTTATTTAATATATATGGATTGATTCAATATTGCAAATTTTTTAT